GTAATGACAAACACGCGGCATGACTTAATATTGCCTATATCAGTCACATCTTCAGGGTGATTAAGCCAAGAAGAGTGAGATTGGCGGGGCATGTGGAGTGCATGGATGGGGCGAGAGGTGTGAACCGGGTATTTTTGGAAAGCCTGAGTAGAAGAGGACGATGGGGAGATCTAGACGTAGATGGAGGATAATCTCAGGACTGATCTATGGGAGATAGGAGTTGAAAAGAGACTGGATTTTGTTGGCCCAGGGCAGGGTCTGGTGGAGGGCTTTGGTTAGTTCGGTGATGAAACTTCGTGTTCCGTAAGCCGTCTAAGAAGTTAGTTAGTTAGTTAGTTAGTTATATATCACATTTAAAGTTTATCATTTTGTATTGAATTTCAACAGGCTTTTCTATAAAAAAAGAAACAAACTCAGCTTGAGAATTTAACAGTAGCCTTTATGAAACATGAAGTTTTGTGTCCGAATATACTAGACCCGGTCTCTAAACCACATCCACAAGCAGATGAAGTCAATCTACACCTTCATTCCCCACCTCTGTAAGAACCATTTTAATATTATCCCAGCAACTCATAGGACTCTCAACTAACCTTTTCCTTTCAGGTCTACCGAATAAAATGTTGCACTTCTTGCCTCTGCCATGTGTACTACATTCACCGCCCATCTGATCACCCTTGATCTGACAGCCTGCAATTTATTAATTAGTGAAGAGTTCTATAAAGCTCCATATTACACAATTTTCGCCATTCCCTTGTCAGTAACTCTCTCGCAAGACCAGAAATTATTCTCTGTACCGTGTTCCCTCTCAGTCACTCTCAGTATGAAGAAAAATCTGTAACAACGATGGACTGTCTTTTCAGGAGATGGAGTCAAACCAAAGTCGCACCGAAACATCAGACCCCATGAAAGAGGTGAGAGAGGAGAAACTCTTTTGTGACGCGGTGTTGCGGTCGGAGGACGGCGGCGTCTTTCCGGTTCACAGAGTGATTCTGTCGAAGTGCAGCGCATATTTCAGGTTTGTTTATTAACTGACGTGGTTGATTAACACGTGAATTAAGGACATAATTGACGCCAATTCGTGTGTGAAATGTTTTATCCCCTTTGTTGTAGAAACCAGTATTTTATACGGCTGATTGGCTTTTGTTATTTGTTCGTTGTCATAAAATCTCACGGCGTTGAGGAAGAAGAAGAAGAATGTCTTCTGGGCGTTGCGCCGTAGAAACTGAGTGGCATTTCAGACGTACCTACAGCCTTCTTTCTTTGATGATGGAGGCAGTAAGCGCCTCTGAAACGTCCGATAATTTCTACGAGACAACACGACGCAACATCGCAGAAGACTTTGGTGGTTTTTTGTACTAAATTTAAGTGCGGTTGTACAAAGGTGACAATTAATCGATCTGGACGGAGAAATAGAATCCATTTCCAAATGTCTTGGTTTTAAAGACGACCGACTCAGTCTAGAAGCAAGTTGGTAATGCACCTTCGTAACGCCATTGTCCAGGAACACTGAAAGCTGCTGTGTGCTGCTCTGTCTTAAATATAATAAACTGTAACAAAGAACCTCGCGAGATGTGTTTCATTGATAGGAAAAACTCCATCGAGAATTTATGTATACGTTAATTTGCTTGTGTTTTAAATAAAGTTGCGGTGCGTTCTTGAATTGAGAAATGAATTTTAACCGTGAGCCATTGTTTCTGTTTTCCAAGAGACGTTTCTCACGTCATGTTACAAGCTGTGCACCTCTTTCAGTTTTCAGACAATCAAATCTTTCCGTTTGTCTTGCATTGAAAATCCCTTAATTTGTAATAGGAAATTGTTTGCTGGTTGGTGATCACTTTTTAAGGCCGCGTAGAAACATGGGCTTTTCTTTCAAGTTGTTTACTGACGGGAAAATGTTTTGACAGAACAAATAGATTTCATATTACGAACTGATCAATCAGTGAAATGTACAGCCTGCGATGTATGTTGAAATATTGTTTGGCTTTAAAATTTCTGTAATAGTTGTTATAACCTCGGATATCTCTTGAAGGAGTCAAGGTTACTTAAGAAAGGAGGTGGCCATTCTATAGTACAAATTTTCGCTGCTTAATTTCCGATTTTTAAGTTAAATTCTGTTAAGCCTTCGCCCGCTCTTCACCCACTCGCAGTTAATCTTGTCCCATTCGTACACATCCTTGAATTATTCAGATAACAAAAATTTATCCACCACATTGACAAAAGGATACTTTTATATGACCACGCGAGTCATAAAAACTTAAACTTTATGAGCATGACTTGTAATTTTCTGCTCGTCGTTTCTCCAAATCGACGTTTCAGGAAACTGTTCACGACAATACAGCACACCAGTGAGGAGACAGATATTGTCCTCCGCGGAGTCAGCTCAGACATGATGACCCGGATACTGGATTATGTTTATTTTGGCGAGGTGGACATCCGCTCCGACAACGCGGGTCAGCTGCTCGTGACGGCTGACAACTTGTGTATACCGGAACTTCGTAAACTCTGCTGCGACTTCCTCATGGACGCGATAGACATGGACAACTGTATCGACATCTTACGTGTCGCAAGGTAATTGATGTTTATTTGTCATTTGCTGTGACGCCAGCCTTCGTCAAGGGAGCGAAACAGCTTTACTTTACTGCCGGGTCGGAGATTAAAGCCTCTGACTGAGGACTGGACAAATTATTATGCGTTGGCATTTTGTCATTAATGTGCCTGTAATTTAAAAGATCTGATTTATCTGTATATGTTTTGATCGTTATTATGACTAGCAGATGACTAATTTCACCATATAGAACTTTAATCACGACCTATTGGAGGTTCATAATTAAACCTGTCTTCCTCTCGAATTCTTATTCTTCGTTTCCTTCCTTCCTTTCTTTCTCTGCAGCATTCTTTGCTTCTTACATAATCCTCCCAACATCATTCAACATTCAGCCCCACATATTTCTGCATACAGCAAAACTTCTGTTAACCGACCCTCGATTATCTGATTCCCGCATTAAGCGGCCGAATTTCAAACAGATCGGTTTCCACCAGCGAGAGTGGTTAAAGCTATGTCCACGCGATACAATTCACTAATCTAACCTAATCACATCCAGATTTTGCTGATTATTATGAATACGTCAGAACATTTAGAGAATTGGTTGTTATCGGAAAAAGACGAAGACCGATCCGCTGGTTCCCGTAGAAGCTGAACCCCTACTCCTTCTTGTTCAGGACAACATAGCAAGCAAATCAACTGACATAGGCAAAATCACACCACAATTTCCACATCGTGCGGTGGACAGAATGACTCATAAATTCACTTTTTTAGTACAGCGACTCTCTCGAACAGCGCTCACGTGTGAGTTTTGCCGTCGGCTGGCGCGTGCCTTTGTTTGAACATATAATCTTGTCACGAGGACGAGCGGGCATTGACTGGGAACCTTCAGAGCCGAAAACTTTCTATTTTGCCACGGTTAAACGGAACGTCTCTCATCGATGCCTCTCCACGTGTCTGGTCTAAGTCTCGCTCATTTGGGCTTCAAACGGCTAAGGTAAAAACTTCAGGCGAAATACTGTGGTGTGCAAATTGTTGAGAATCCAGTTCTTGCTGCAGTGTTACAATGTGTAAGATTTTGAAGGCGATCGATTCTGAGTCGGCTCTTACCTTCGCTGTCGCAGGTTACTCTCCTTCGCCGACCTCAAGATTCACGCTCGTCGCTTCGTTCTGCGCCAATTCGTGGAACTGTCTCAGCAGAGCGAACATCTGCTGGAACTGCCTGTTGAGGAGCTGCAAGCGATAATTGAGGCCGAGGAACTGAACGTAAAGGAAGAGAAAGTTGTGTGGGAGTGCATTCTCCGGTGGATCAACCGCGATCCGGACAACAGGAAAGGTCACAACGCGGGCCTTTTGAAGGTCGCCAGACTGGGACGACTTGATGCAAAGTTTTTCAATGAGACGGTCAGTAAGCTCCTGAAATAGTGGATGTTTATTGGAAATAAATCCCGCATTTTCAATTTCATATTCACACGTGTTCTTAACTAATTAATGCAAATCGTGAGTCTTTTACTTCGTCACGTGTAAGCCTGCCTGTCTGTCCGCATTTCCAGCTCGAGAACGTTTAAACGGATGTTCATTAGATTTAATACTAACAAGTTTTAACAGAATCTGTTGACATACTCTAATTCTGTTTAAAATCTTACAATAACAACGTATAAAACTACACAATGATTTTAATGCCTTGTTCTGTGCAAAATTTCCTGCATAAAAAATCTCCAGATTAACTTAGTTGCCATGGTTACAGTAACTACCTGTGGAATGCCGCTGGTAACATGCTCGCATACGCGTGTGTATGTACAAAACAAATACTCAATTGGACCTTTTATGCAGATATGTAGTTCGAGTTAATAATCGTATTTTATTCATCGTTTGTGCTACAATCTTCGATTACAGTCCAGCGTTCATTAAGATCCATTACGCGTTTAAGTTAAACTACAGCATTCCACCTTTAACTACATCCAAACACCCATTCAGCTCGAATAGGAAAGTTCTCCAAAAGATAAATAACATTTTCTGGCCCAGCGTTCAACACATTTCAATAGTTTTCTCTAAATCGATTTAACGTTGATTTCGCTTCTC